TAATCAAATAAATATACCTTATTCAAATGTTGTGCTATGTAACCTCTTCCGCAACCAAGATCCAAGGCAAGGGAGAAATCTCTAAAAAACAGACACAGAAATTAAGCTCTGTCTATAATAATACAATCCATAAATTAAGAACTAATTTTTCTTAAGTAAAAATATTTTAGTAAAAACAACTTCAGGCAGTCACATTATCTGCCTTTTCTGCCTCACCTTACAAGCTATGTCTACCATAGAGTACATTGCATAGAGCAAGTCTGTCTGATCCAGCCATTCACGGGACCTCATAATGAACTAGCTCTCCATAAGGTAGCTCCATGATGCGGATGTGAAGAACAGATTTAATATGGGTATTTTAATTTAGTAATACACCCAGGTAAAGATTGAAAAGAAGTTTATGTAAATTAACATGAAAATAATTGACATACTTATCAGAAACTTAATAATTATCCTTATTTCTCAAATTTGTTGAAGCAGCAGAACACGTAGAAATCATCATGTGAAACACCATGAAGTACTAATATTTTAAACTTAAAAAACAAAAAAACAAAAAAAACTAAATCATAGCTTATTTTACTGAAAACTTACCACGTTCAAAGTACTGTACTAAGTGTCCGAAACTAAGTAAGTCAATCCAAGTACTTCAACTAATAAGCAGAAGTCAAAACTTGAATTTAGTCAGTTTGAATCCTGAACCAGAACTAATATTCTCTATGCTATGCTGACTCCTCTAAATATATCAAGTCATTCTAAATCAGTACAGACATCTAACTGTAGGCCATAGTTTTAAGAAAAATTTATGACAAGAAAACTTAAAATTTTATGTAATAATAATATTTTTCCTGAAAAACTGGAACAAAGAGTCTCTTTTCAATTTCTGTTAAAATTCTATGTCAAAATTATAGAATACCAGTACACAGATGGAGAACCCTGTTGACAACCATTTATTATCTAATGCCCTATATCTTGATGATGACCACAGCAATATGACACAGTTAAGTATACAGGCTTTAGAATAAGAAAGACTTAAGTTAAAATTCTGGGCTTGCAATTTGCTGACCCCGTGATAATAGACAAGTGACTTAATCTTGGTGGATCTCAGTTTCCCCATCTGTAAAATGGAAATGTTACTGCCTGCCTCAGGGTTGGTGAGAGAATTACATGAAATAGTACATGTAAAGTATTTAGCACAGTGTAAATGTTCAACAAGTTAGTTACCAGTTATTATTATCACTGATTATAACAGTAGTAAGTGAGCCTTAGATCCCACAAATAAGACATTTAATAATGTGTGGGATTCATTTATAAAAATCAACAAATGATCAGTGTTGACAATATAAACTACGCTTTCAAATGTTAAAGCAAGGATATTTAGACTAGTATTTTAGTAATTTAATTCCAAAGAGTTAATGTTAAGATACACTTCTAGCTATAATCATAGCTCTCTCCATAGACTTGACTGTGTTTTGCTCAGTACTATGGCATATAATTAAAAGATGGTAAAATCCAAACTGATTTGCAAATTTCAGTATTTCATTTATTAAATCATAAATGACCTATAATCCAGGTGAAAAATTACAGTAGCTATTTTTCAGATCTTTAAAATAATGGAACTAATGAAACAAATGAAATGTGGGTGCCTATTTGCAACTATGAAGTACTGTTTTTTTTACCTTACAAAATTCACTCATCCCAAGACTCTTTTAAGTAGCAAAGATACATCTAAAATACAATTAAAAGAGTTTGTGATTTTACAAAATTCCCTTTTTTATAGACAAATGTTGTAAATTAATCACACCTTGGTCTAATTTAATGGATATCTTTTAAACAAAAGAGCACATAAAGAGTAATTTGGTAATATCACAGAGTAATTCTATTGCAAAACCATTATTTGACTGTGTTTCTCACATCTATTAAGCTTTGATTATGCCTAATATATAGACCAATGAATCCATCAAGGTTTCAATAATTCTTGATGACAGTGTGCTTTTCTCAAGTTGGCCTGTACTTATATTAATAATTATCATAGAACCCTTATTACCATTAACAATGCCAAAGTCTCATATAACCTGATTGGGGAACAAAACTAGGTAGACTTCTCTCCTTCACTTTAATTGTAAAACAGTTTGTTAATTTTAGTTAAACTTTTAAAACTAAGTTTAGTAAATCTTAAAAATCCACATAAAAATTCACATGTAGGCAATTCTTTATCTCCATTTTTTAAGCAATCTTTCCATTACCGGCTTTTGGCCAAATCCAGTAGGTCAGTCATTCAGGCATGGAGATAGATATGAGTTTGTGCTTCCACATCCATATATTTTTTTTTTTAAGGCGAAAAAAAAGAGAGAGAGAGTTGCTCTCCCAGACAAGAGAAAAGGAGAGACCTACAGAGTAATTCAATTCACCAATCCTGGTAATAAATTCCTCCAGTTTCTGCCATTATAGATATCAAGCTCTCAGCATTTAATCTTTTGATTTTCCACTCAAAAGATGATTGTATTTTATTATGGTAATCGCCACTGACCTGGCTATGTCATATACACGGTCTGCAATCCGACTTCCAACCTGAAGGATTATAAGAAGGTATACAAGTTAAGATTAGGTTAACAGAGTATTCGACAATCCATAGGTTACTTATGTTTCAACATAAGTACCTCCCTTTACCTCTTTTTCTATT